GATCAAACATGCAATCAAGATGTATTGCTCATTACTGGTGATTGGAATGCAAAAGTACGGAGCAAAGAGGAGGGACCAGTAGTTGGAAAATTTGGACTTGGTGATAGAAATGATGCTGGAGAATGAATGGCCCAGGATCGGACATTGTTTCGTTCTGCTGTGCATGGGGTCGCTATGAGTCGGTTCCGACTCGATGGCACCTGACAACAACAACAACATAGAGTGAGGGAACTAAGGTACCAACTCAGTAGATGTGGACCCCTTTTTCTTGCCCCCTTATGTCTTCAGATCCTTCCTTTGACTTTGAAAATCCCCATCCTTTTTCATGAGTCTGTTCTCTTTTTCCCACCACATTGAGGCTGCAGTCCCTGTCTACCTCCTTTCAGATCTTAAGAAAAGTGAATTTATTCACTTCCTTCAGGAAGTTCAGGCTTCTATGGCATTTTCTCTTGAAACCTTCTTGAAATGCTGGATTTGGTGTTCTCCTGGCTTTACTTCCAGGAGTTCTCTGATTTGCTTCCCCCTTAACTAGGATTTCTATGCAGTGCCCTTAAATGAAACCATTAGGATAATCTAGGGAATTCCTCTCACCCTCTAAGAACAATACATAGGGCTCTGTGAACTGGTTCCATTTCCAACTTTGTGGTACTCAGTAAAAAGCAATTTATGCCTTAGTGATCCTTTCCTTTACCTCTGGAGGTCGTAGGACCCATTAATTTTTGCATATGTGTTTATTCTGCCCCCACTTGGCAGCCACTCCTTGGAAACCCTATACAGGGCCCCTGTGAGTTGGAAATAACTTGACAGCACTTAACAACACCAACATGTGTCTTAAAAAGGGGTCCCGGTGTGACACTGGAGGATAATCAGTGAACTGCTAACTAGTTGCGAGTTCAGTGTTTCAAACCCACCAGCTAGTCCTTGGAAATCCTTTACAGGGTTTCTGTGTGTAGGAACCGACTTGATGACACTAGCAACAACACCAAGATGTGCCTCAGAAGGAGCCCTGATGATATAGTACTTTACCGCTTGGCTGATGATCGAAAGGTTGGCAGTTTCCATCCATCATCCCTTCTTCTGGAGAACGATGTCATAGTCTGCTTCTTTAAAAATTATCATCTTGGAAACTCTATGGAGCAGTGCTACCTTATTCTCTTGGATTGCTATGCTTTGGAATTGGCATGATAGTAACGGGTTTGGTTTCGTTTTGTGCCTCTCATGAGCTAGTGAGCATCCATCTAAGGTGAAACTTGGTCTCTCTCCATCTAGAGGGAAAAAAAGTGATGAAAATTGAAGATACATAGAAACTAAATTAATCCAGTGGACTAATGGACCTTGTGAACATCAATCTTTATAACTTCGAGACCAGAAGAACTAGGTGGTGTCCAGCTACCACTACCAACTTGTTCTGAAAGGGATCACACTAGAAGGTCCTGGATAGAATGGGAGAAAAAAATGTGGAACAAGACTCAAAGTCATTAAAAAAAAAAAAAAGCCAGTCTTACTGTTCTGATTGAAACAGGTAGAGCCTCCAAGTCTATGGCCCTTAGCCACCTTCAGGTCTAGAACTGAACTCACCCTCATTACTCAATGTTCATGAAAGCAATAGACAAGTCTGTAAGGGGAACATAACACTATTAGATTAATGAACGGTTTGAGCTAGAATTGATAGCCACTGTCCTAACCCCCAGGACAAAGTTTAAGAGGGTTAGGAAAGGAGGAATGGAAACAGGAAACACTACGGAGATGAGAAGGGATGTTACATTGTGGTGCTTGCAATCAATGACATGGAACAAAATGTATATGAATGTTTTAATGAAAAACTGATTTGCTCAATTCACTAGGAAAAAAAATAATGACATTCTCTATTTGTTCTGACACAGAAATGTCAAATTGAGTGAGAGGGATTCCCCAAAGGTAGAAAAGAATAAATAAAATGCTAGAAAGGATAAGCACTATACACAAGTAGAAGGCATTTTGTTGTTAATAACCCTCCATGTTTCTTTTTCCCTCTGCGTAACTGACAATGACAGTGAGCAGTGCGTTGATAACTTGGCTACTTCTGTCCGAATCTTATTGTGTACCATAGAGTTGGTTCTGACCTGTAGCTACCCTATAGGGCAGAGTACCCGCGGGGTTTTCTAAGCTGTGTAGAGTTGCTATGAGTCAAAATCGACTCGACTCAGTAGCTGTGGGGTTTGTATGTTTTTTGGGATCTTTACTGGAACAGATCTTGAGTTTTTTTTCTCCCGAGTAGAGGTTGTTAGGTTTGAACTGCCAGCCTTTTTGTTAGCAACTGAGTGCCTAACCATTGTTCTACAGGACACATTGTTGTTGTTGTTAAGTGCCGTGGAGTCGGTTTTGACTCTTTGCGACCCTGTATAGGGTTTCCAAGGAGTGGCTGGTGAGTTTGAACTGCCGACCTTGCGGTTTAAACCGGCTTTGCAGTCCAGTGCATTAACTCACAGCGCCATACCAGGACTCCTACAGGATGCATTGTTATTGTTTTTGTTAAGTGCTGTTGAGTTGATTTCAACCCATAGCGACCTTGTATAGGGTTTCCAAGGAGAAAGTGGTGAGCTTGAACCACTGACCTTGCAGTTCAAATGACTTTGCAGTCTGATGCATTAGCCCACAACACCACACCAGGATTCCATTAGTGGCCTGAAAAGACCATTAAAAAAATAAAACAAAACAAACGCATAAATCTCCTACCAGAGTCTTAATGTTTGAGGTGAATTCACAAGCTAAAAGGATTAAAATATGGCTCCATGTGAAAAAGCAGACATGCAAGAAATTAAAAATATAGCCCAAAAGGTTTAATGTTGCCTGTTAACTGTACTTAAATTCATATTCATATCCTAACTGTCTGTCTGAAGTGAGCTGGGTTGATATAGTAAAGATATAAACATATCTACTTCCAGTGGGTGCTTCTGCAAATCCTGTTTTGATAAGGTCTTAAATCTACTGAGATCAGGTCGTAAAATTTCCCTGCATTTTCAGCAATAGGTGAACACAGGGCTCAACAGTGTTTTCTTTTAATTTTGCATTCAGGCAGTATAACTACCTCCGTTGGTAAACTCCCCGCCCCACCCACCTGAGGGAAAATATGGGTAACATGTGGTGTGTAAGCAACATTTCAAGTGTAAATATTAAACTTGGTTGATAAATTTTAATTTACCTTTTAATAATTTTATGACTTACATGGACTATTTTTAGCTGTGAGAGCTTAGAGATTTAGTGAAAAATATGCTGTAATAACTGTAAATGCCAGGCAAGAGTCATTTCTAGCTTAGAAATTTATCGGATAGTAAGTTCTTCATCAGTGGATATTATTTCCTAGTGGATATGTGGAATTTGGGGCCATGGTTTACTGAAGATTTTGCTTACTATGATTGATACTACTAAATGGCTTACAGAATACCAATGGAATGCGTGTGAATATTCCCTGAAGAAGAATCCTATTAAATTTATTCTTTACTAATAGTGGGATCCCAGGTTGCTATTTAATTTCAGAAAATCCCTTTAACAGATGGTCTTTTATGGTGGGCATGGTTACTGAATGTGCTGAGATATTATGAAAAGTCTGGGAAGATAAAATTCAAGAATGAGAGACCCAGTAGAACATTTTGGTCCTTAAACTTGTGTGGTTTGCTGTTGATACAGAAATCTATCCTTTGAAGATGGCATCTGAATGGAAATGTGCTCTGGAAAAATCCCTTTTTGATGCTGCAAAGTTTCCTCTTCCAATGGAAGTATTCAAGGTAACAAGTCACCTCATAGTAACTTACCTACTATTTTTAAGAATAAACTGTTAAAAATGTTTCGGGTATCAAATCACCCCCACTGTTTAGAAAACTACCTTCTTGTGCAGATTTAATTTTAAAATGTTTAAATTGTATCTGTTCCATTTTGTTGGGTTTTGGCAACCATTGTAATCGCCTATTTTATAAGCTACTGATTTATTACGATGTTTTTAGGCTATTATTGTCTTTCTTCATAGTGCTTCATTATCGAAATCACATTTTACCTCTACCAAAGGAACCAAAGAAAATATAGTTAAGTCTTTTCTTCTTGTTAGTTTGGTAAATATGATAAACTCATACTTTTCCTGATGGTTCCATTTTTATTAATAGCTCAAGAAGCTTAAACTTTGTGTCTACTTGCTACCAGGTGCTCATACAAAGATGAAAGATGTATGAAACCTTCCCTCAACTGAAACGGATTGTGAGGTTTTAAAAATTATGTTTGAAAATTATATGAAGTAGAATATTAAGCTCTGGAAAGAAAGGCCCGTTCTGGTTAGAAGCCGTAAAGCAAACATTTTAAAAGATTTGGGATGCGCCCAGGTGAGAAGACTGTATCACACTTGCGCTTTCTTTCAACGGTTCAAACGTGGCTGCATCAGACTAGCAGACACTTGCTTTTTATCTTGGAGCCAGCACCCTTTTGGAGTCGAAATTTCACATGGAAAATTCAATTACAATGGTGTTTATGTGCTACATCCAACAAGGCTTAAGGCTTTTGGCTGGAGTGTTGGCTTCCTGAATTTTATTTGTACTTCAGCCCTCACTCAGAATTTTAACCAGTTATGGCAAATCATTAACCTTCTGGGCCAGCACTTTTCCTGTTTGCAAAATTGAACATATTAAGACCTCTTTTTATGCTGGTCATATAATTATGTTGTGAAGTTTCATGGGATACTTTTACAGTGTTTTAGGGCTTCTGGATTCGAGGGACCATATAAATCCAGTGTGCTGTTAGTAATAATCACTGACAATGAAGAATTATTTTGAGTCCTTTTTTAGTTTTATAAATGGATCGACTACTTTTTGCTTCCCTTTCTTTCTTCCTCTGTTCTGTAATACCCCCTTTCCCTTAAATAACACAGAGAAACAGATTAGGCTTTACCACCACTCAGCAGCCAGTCCTTGACCACCATCACTCCCTTCATAGTGACCATCATGGTATTCTTCACATGTGTAGATCTGGTCATGCCCTTCTCCTTTGAAAATATTCATTTTATTTTGAAATATATGCATTATATGATGTCAAGAGGTGAGCGAATAATAAAATGAAAATTCAAATACACACTATCCAGTTTAAGAAGCAGAATGTTGCCAGTAGTATATTAGAAACATGTCTACATATCCTTCTCCTAATTCCTCCTCTGTTCTGCCTGAATAACCAGTATCCTGACTTGTGTTTTAATCCTTCCTGTGCTTCTCTTTGTAGATTTACTACATTGGGATGCATTCCTAAATGTTAAATTACATACTCATGGCAAAATGAGAAGTAAGCACAATCTTATTTGTTTATGGAGAGGACTGGCTTTCTACTCCTAGCAGGAGAAGCAGTTGGACAGTGTCTGGGTAATAAATGGGCTTCACTTTACTTCAGAGTTTTTCAAGACCTCTTGTGGAGAATTCAGTAGGCAAAGTCATGAGGTAATCTTAAGAAAATGAAGCTTTATCATAGTAACATCATCTGCATGAATTACGAGACTTTTCTTAGGTACCCTAAGGTGCTAGATATCCCTTAGGATTATGGACAAGGATCATTTGGTCTATGTATTATTTTGTAAGTGCTTTTATGGTTTACTCTTGCTCTCAGACCCTGGTAGTGTAGTGGATTATGTATTGGACTGCTTGCTTACTGTAAGTTCAGCAGTTAGATCCACGGGCCGCTCCAAGAGAGAAAGCTGAGGTGTTCTGCTCCCATAAAGATTTATAGTCTCTGAAACTCTACCCAGGGACGCTATGAGTTGGAACCGATTCCATGGCACATAGCAGCTGCAGCTTGCTCTCAGGAACTATACTAATGCACAACATTTCTGTCAAGTGACTACTGCCTTGTGATCTAGGCAGCTGGGTCCTCAACAGGGAGCAGGAGCTTGATTTCCCAAAGAAGTTTGATCTCGCCACCTTGGGCTAAAGGTCTGGCTCTAACAGGATTCTGGGAGCTGAGTGTGGAGAAGAGGGCTGAGGAGTCTCAGCACTCAGCATTATGTGTACACCCACTAACCAGGGATCATCTAGTTCATCCTCTTCAGTAAACAAATCTCTGATTTTCTGGTAAACTGCGGTAGGGCAGCTGGTCTTAGTGAGTATACTAGGAGAGAATTTTTAGGGATCTAATTGAAGACCCCCAAAGAGATGGATTCGCCAAGTGGCAGCATCGATGGATTCAAGTGTGGCAACAGTAGTGAGGTTAGCCCAGGATTGGGCAGTGTTTCGTTCTGCCGTGTATAAGGTTGCTATGAGTTGGTACCAACTCGATGGTACCTAACAACAACTGCTTTTCCAGGAGCTCTGGTAGTATAGTAGTTACGAATTGAGCTGCTAACCTCAAGATTGGCAGTTTGAAACTACCAGCCATTCTGCAGGAGAACGATGAGGCTTTCTGCTCCTGTAAAGATTTATAGCCTTGGAAACTCTGTGCAGGGTCACTATGAGTAGGAACTGACTCCACGGTACTTAACAACAACTGCCTTTCAAACAGTTCCTTCACAGTTCATTTTATTTCATCAGCTCTTGGTTACACCCTCTTTCAAATATCACTGGTGTTACTAGTTTCTGACCCTTCTGAGAATTTTGCAGCATGAATTGGATTGGTTCTCAGCTGAAGGTTTGGGATTTGGCTTTGTTGAATATATTAACTTAGAAATTAATTACTTTTATCTGCTTTTTAGTTTCCATACTTTTGTTGCTGTTGAGTGAATTTGTGACTTCATGCATGCAATCCCTTTTAGCATATTAGGTTACCCATTGGGCTACTAACCTCAGGTCAGCAGTTTAAACTCATGAGCAACTCCACCTGAGAAAGATGAGGCTTTCTGCTCCTGTAAAGATTTACAACCTCGAAACTCTTTACAGGGTGTTGTAAGTCGGAATCGACTTGACAGCACACGGTAGCAGCAGCAGATAAATAATCCCTTTACTGTGATTTTTATTAGAGTTCAGGAGGAAGTCAAATGAGTGTAGGCTTTTAGTGTGCTATTTTAACCTGCCATTCCTGTTTTAAAAACCCATCCAGCTTGGCTATATAGTACAAAGCATTCTTATTCTTCTTTGTCCTGCTATGCGTGGTGTGATTTAGACCTGCTTCCCTACCAAGTCTTGTTTTGTGCCACATCCTTCGTCAGTACCACTGGCCTTTTTCTGCTTCAAGATGCCCTTTGTACCAGTTTCGTTCTTTTTGCTTATTCCTACTCAAAGATAGGAGTCCTGATATGGCGCTGTAGGATTAAAGCACTGGCCCGCAACGTTTGTTTGAACCACAGCAAACAACACTCAAAGAAAAATTCTCTAAAAAGAAGTCTCCTGAGTCTTTGGCTCCTGTTGTAGCTCAGACTAATTTTCATGAAAAAAGACTGTATCTCTTTCTCTCACAGAGCACCTGGGGAGTTCGAACTTCTCACTGTACCTCCAGGGCTCTTTAGGTATTCAGTAAATATTTTCTCAAATATATGCAAGAATTCTTGAAAAGATTGTTGTTAGTTGTTGTTAAATGCCATCGAGTTTGTTCTGACCCATAGCAACCCTGTGTAGAGTTTCCGAGGAACCACTGTTAAATTTGAATCACCGACCTTGCAGTTCAAACTGACTTTGAGTCCAGCACATTAACCCACAGTGCCACGCCAGGACTCCCAGTGAAAGGATATATGCTTATCCTGCAGTGCTACATCAGGACTCCTTGAGTTAATATAGTCACAGATTAACGGCATGCATACCTATTACTGTGAATACTGAAATTCAAAAGATATAAACATTAGTATTTCTAATGTGTTTTAAATTACAAATTAACTAACCCATTAAACATTTATTGAGCAAATATTCTCTGCAGCAGTCTGTTATGTGTTGTTGATTGTATGCTAGGGTTTAATAATTTGTTTACGTTTTCCAAAATACAAATAGCCTTCTTTTCTCACCATAATATCTTTTTACTAGAAATTAGAATTCTATTATTTTTGTAGCATACCTGAGAATTATCATCTTACACAATATTTTGTTTATAATTAAGAATTACTTTAAAAATAAGCAGTAAATACTAGTTTTGTATTTTCCACAGGGCCTCTTATAAGGCAAGGCATAGGGAATAGGAATTCAATTTTTAAAAACACTTGGGTCAAATGGAATATTACATATTCTTAATGCTTTTGGTACACTTATCAATGATGATATTTTTTCAATATTTCAATGAGATGGAAAAGAAATGAACAGTTTAACTTTATTAGGCATACTTTGTATTGAGTGAATATTTAACATTTATATTTCGCTAAGGAGCTCTGGTAGCGTAGTGGTTACGAATCGGGCTGCGAACCTTAAGGTCAGCGGTTCGAAACTACCAGCTGCTCCGCGGGAGAAAGATGAGGCTTTCTACTCCCGTAAGGATTTACACCCTCGGAAACCCTATACAGGGCCTCTATGGGTCGGAACCGACTCGATGGCACTTAACAACAACAACAACAACACACAGTAATTTAGAACACAGAATGCTGAGTTACTCTACGTACATTGAGGTAGTTAGTTAAGAAACATTGCATGGGGTAAGCTAGAGGGGGAATCAATCTATCTGTTGCATTCTTTAAGAAAAAATAAAATGGAAGCAAGAAAAAAATTTTGTGCCCCTCCTAAGTTTACAGAAGTTTCAGCAAGCAATATTCTCCTGCAGAGTCCAGAAATAAAGCTTACATGATTTTTCTGTTGCTACTGTCTGATCACCATTGTTTCTCAGCAGGCAGATGTACTTCTGGTTACTTTCA